TTCCTTGCCCCCAAAACGGCCCTTTGTGCCGTCTGCTTCCCCCCTGAGAGAATGTGACCTGCCCAAGAGGTTTCATGGCCAAGCTGGGAATTGAACCCTGGTCTCCAGAGTTGTAGCTGAGCTCTGAAACCACTATGCCACATTAGCTCAGGTGTTAGATTACAAAGTTCCAATTGATCCAGGGGTTCTTGGAGGAGTAGATCCATGTCAGTCTGGTTATGGGGCAGAAACAGGCTTAGTCACCTTGGTGGATGACCTACACAGGGAACGAGACAGGGAGAATGTGTCTCTGGTGGTCCTACTGGCCCTCTCAGCAGCTTTCAATATCTTCAACCATGGTATCCTTCTGAGTCACTTCTTTGGGATGAGACTGTGAGGTACTGTTCTAGAGTGGATCTCTTCTTTCATGGAGGAGTGCTCTCGGAAAGTGGTGCTGGGAGATTCCTGTTCGACTCCTTGGCCATTGGCCTATGGAGTCCCTTAGGCTCAGTCTTGTCCCCCTGTGCTTTTCAATATCTGCATGAAACTGATGGAAGAGGTTGTCCAGATTTTTGGAGTCAAGTGTCACCAGTATGCTGATGATACTCAGTTCTATCACTCCTTTCCACCCAATTCCAAGGAAGCTGTTTCTGTACTAAAACAGTACATGGCAGCTGTGATGGACTGGATAAGAGCAAACAAATTGAAGCTTAATCCAGTCGAGACAGAGGTGCTCCTGGTCAGTAAAAAGACCGATCTGGTAAAAGGGATTCAGCTGGTGTTAGATGGGGTTACCCTCCCCCTGAAAATGCAGGTTTGCAGTTTACGGATACTCCTGGATTCAGCTCTGAGCCTGAAGACCCAGGCTCCAGCAGTGACCAGGAGTGCTTTTGCACAGTTAAAGCTTGTGCCAACTTGGCTTGTTCCTGGAGAAGTTGGATCTGGCCATGGTGGTACATACCTTGGTTACATCTTGTTTGGCTTACTGTAATGTGCTCTATGTGGGGCTGCCTTCAAAAAGCACTTAGAAATATCAATTTGCCCAAAAAGCTGCAGCCAGCTTAATTGGAGCTGGCTACAGGGAATACACAACTCCATTGGCTGCCAGTTTGTTTCCGGGCACAATTCAAAGTGCTGTTTTTGACCTATAAAGCCCTACAGTTTGGGTACAGGTTATCTGAAGGATTATCTTCCTTTATGAGCACACTAGAGTATTAAGAATCTTGACTTTCCCTGGAGACTACAGCAAAAGAAACTGCTGCTGCTTCTCCTAGCTTGTGCATCCTTCCTCTTTAATAGCTTTCACCTTCTTGACCACACTCTGATGTTGCTTGGGGCTGGGTATGTTTAGCCTGGAGAAGAGACAGTTAAGGGGTGATATGATAAGTATTTGAAGGTTTAAGTATTTGACAGAGTGTCACATTGAGAAAGGAGCAAGTTTGTTTTCTGCTGCTCCAGAGACTAAAACACGGAACAAT